AAATATCAATTACTGCTTCAGAAAGAATCTGTTCAAAAGTTTCTGGTTGGTCTTAATGATTCCTATTCCAATTTAAGGAGTCAAATTCTTTTCCAAACACCTTTTCCTAGCCTTTCTAATGTTACTCTTTCTTTCTACAAGAAGAGTCTCAAAAAAATCTTCAACATCCACTCAATTCTGTTCCCTTTCCTTCTAACAACAACACTCATGATCATCCTAATGCTGATTCAGTTGCCTTCTTAGTCAAAAACTCTAACAACAAAAAGAAATCTATCATTTGCAATCACTGTGGCTATCAAGGACATTATGCTGATAAATGCTTTCAAGTAATTGGATATCCTCCCAACTGGAAAGGACCAAAAGGGCTCAGAATTGCTCCTGGCTTCAAACAGCCTACACAACCTACTCATTCTACAAAGAATACTCATGCTCATCTAGCCAATACCACCAATGATTCCACCTCTACTGACTTAGATCTCTGTGATCCTACTATGTATAACAAATTTCTTGAGTTCATGAAAACTCAGAACACTAAATCTGCTTCTGCTAATGTTGTTATGGCTGTCTCACCACATCATCAATCACCTGATGCTTCTCAATTTCTAGGTAATCATTCTGCTTTCTTATCTACTGCTAAATCTTCTACTTGGATTCTTGACACTGGTGCTTCTGACCACATGACTCACAATTTCAGTTTATATAATTCTTTACCTAAACCTATATCAATTAATATTCAATTACCTACTGGTTCTTTCATTAATGCTACTCATATAGGTGATATTACTATCAATAATGATTTTACTCTTCACAATGTATTATATGTTCCTCAGTTTAATTTTAATCTTATATCTATATCTAGTCTTGTTTCACATGAGAATATTTCTGTTCAATTTACTTCTAATCATGCTACTTTGCAGGATCTGCTCACCAACAAAATGATTGGCTATGCTGATCTTCAAAGTGGACTTTATATCTACAATACTTCTAAACTTTTTTTCCAATAAACTGTCTCTTGTTAATTCTGCTAACATTCAGTCTTTAGACAATAAAAATGATGTTTGGCACTATAGACTAGGCCATCTGCCTTTCAACAAACTAAAGTCTATTGTTGATTGTACTGCTCATTCTCATATGAATAAAAACATTTGTGATATATGTCATTTTGCTAAACAAAAATGTTTACCTTTTCCTGATAGTACCTCTTATGCTTCTCATGCTTTTGATCTTATTCATATGGATGTTTGAGGGCCTTTTAGGGTTCAATCTTATTCTGGTTTCAGATATTTTTTAACCATTGTTGATGATCATACTAGATGTACTTGGGTTTTTATGATGAAAACAAAATCTGAAGTTAAATTTCATATGATGAATTTTTATAATCTCATTAATACTCAGTTTCATACTAAAATTAAAATTATTAGAACTGATAATGGTACTGAATTTATATTTCCAAATTTTTATAATACTCATGGCATTATTCATCAACTTTCATGTGTTGAAACTCCTCAACAAAATGCTAGAGTTGAAAGGAAACATCAACACATTCTTCAAGTTGCTAGATCTCTTTTATTTCAATCTTGTCTGCCTCTTATTTTTTGGTCTGATTGTATTCTAACTGCTGTTCATATCATAAACAGATTACCTACTGCTATTCTTAATAATAAATCTCCTTATGAATTGTTATATAATCAAGTCCCTGATTATTCTCATTTAAGAGTTTTTGGATCTCTAGTGTATGCTTCTACTTTAAATGATGATAGATCAAAATTTGATAAAAGAGCTGTCAAATGTGTTTTTGTTGGTTATCCTTTAGGTTCTAAAGGTTATAAACTTTATGATATTGCAAATCATAAATTTCTTATATCCAGAAATGTTAAATTTTATGAAATGATTTTTCCTTATAAAAACAATTCTGATTTGTCTGACTCTACTCATTCTAATAACATTTTTTTTGAAACTAATGACCTTTCTTCATACAACTACAATATACACTCAAATGTTTCTACAGATTACTTACAAAATCAAATTAATGAGGAAATTAATCTTAACAATTCCCATGATTCTACCAATTTAAATGATTCTAGTACTCTACAGACTAATCCTTCTATTCCAGAAGATCAATCTCACAGAAAATCAACAAGGGTAAGATCTTTACCTATTCATCTTCAAGACTACTCTTATGATTTACCTAATTCTATCACTGCAGGTACTTCTCAATCCTCTTCTTCTTGTAATTTAGTTAGATATCCTATTCAACATTATATCACCTATGATAGATTAAGTACTTCTCATTCTTGCTTTATTGCTGCTCTATCACAAATTACTGAATCCAAAACATTCAAACAAGCTGTCAAATTTCCTGAATGGCAAAATGCCATGTTAACAGAAATTCAAGCTCTTGAAAAGAATAAAACTTGGATTTTAGTTACTCCACCTTCAAATCAAATTATAATAGGCTGTAAATGGGTTTTTAAAACTAAACTAAAACCTGATGGTTCTTTAGACAGATATAAAGCAAGATTAGTTGCTAAAGGTTATACTCAAGAAGAAGGTTTTGATTATTTTGATACTTTCTCTCCTGTTGTTAAAATTACTACTCTTAGAATCATTTTAGCTATGCTAGTGCTAAAAACTGGTTTTTACATCAATTGGATGTAAACAATGCTTTTTTACATGGTGATTTAAATGAGGATATTTTTATGCAGCCTCCTCCAGGATATTTAGCTGCTACTGATAACAGGGTCTGTAAACTAACCAAAAGCCTTTATGGTCTTAAGCAGGCTTCTAGACAATGGTTCTGTAAGCTTTCTGATTCTCTAAAATCTTTTGGGTACATACAATCTAAAGCTGATTTTTCATTATTTACTAAATCTAATAACAATTCTTTTACTGCTCTTCTAATATATGTAGATGATATAATTCTTGCTGGAAATAACATGGATGAAATCAATGCTGTAAAAACTTTTTTAAATAAAAAATTTACTATTAAAGATATAGGTGAACTAAAATACATCCTAGGTATTGAAGTGGCCAGATCTGATAAAGGTATAAATCTTTGCCAGAGAAAATATACTCTTGATATTCTTAATGAATATGGTTATTTACATTCTAAACCTTATACTACTCCAATAGATCCAAAATTAAAATTTTCTAAAAAGGAAGGTACTGTTTTGAATGATCCTAAACCTTATAGAACATTAATTGGCAAATTATTATACTTAACTGTCACTAGACCTGATATTGCTTATAGTGTTCAAGTTCTTAGTCAATTTCTTTCTTCACCAACTGATATTCATATGAGTGCAGTTCATAGAATTCTAAGGTATCTTAAGAACTCTCCAGGTAAAGGTCTCTTTTATTCATCTATTTCTGATCTTTGTATTAAAGGATATACTGATTCTGACTGGGCTGCTTGTATTGACACCAGAAGAAGTGTTTCTGGTTATGCCTTTTATCTTGGTAACTCTTTAATTTCATGGAAATCTAAAAAACAACAAGTAGTAAGCAGATCTTCTACAGAAGCTGAGTATAGAGCTGCTGCCAATGCAGTTTGTGAAGCTCAGTGGTTATACTATATTCTTTGTGATTTACATATTCAGTTTACTTTACCCATTACTATTCATACTGATAATAAATCAACTTTTCATTTAGCCCATAATCCTGTACAACATCAAAGAACAAAACATATAGAATTAGATTGCCATTTAATTAGAAAAAAAATTAATTCTGGTTTAATATCTTTGACTCATATTAAGAATAATTTTCAACTTGCAGATATCTAAACTAAAGCACTTGGAAACCCTCTCTTCCCCTAAAGCACTTGGAAACTCTCTCTTCAATGAATTTGCAGTCAAGATGAACATGATGGACATTCATGCTCCTCTTGAGGGGGCGTATCAAGAATAAACATTGGGCTGTTTTCCATTATTTTATATTTTGGGCCTTTATCCTATATTGGGCCTTAGTTTCTTTAAGCCTGTTGTATATATTCTAAACAGTGTAATAGGTAGGGTAACTTCTTCCGCATTATCTCTCTTTCTTCTTCCGCATCCAAAGCTCTCTGCGTTCTTCACAGTGTTCTTCATATTGTATTTCATTGATTCTTCAATTTCTACAATCAATAAGTTAAGAAGCATGTTTGAAAAAAAATCTGACTATCATAGAATCTATCATATGAATCCAACTGTCATGGTTTGAGAATGACTTATATAAATATAATAAATACAAAATGAAAAACTAGCTTTACCTCAACAGCCATAGTGTAATTACTATTTGATCGTGGGGCTAACACAATCATTTTGAAATACGAATTAGAATTCCCATCATTTTGAAAGATTGCGCAAAGACTGTAAACCAATGGCTTGCTCCAGGCAAGAGACTTTTGTATAGAAGCTGACTTTCTACAATTACAATAATGAAATCTTCTAATCAATAATCCATATTAGCACGAAAACTACATCATTGTTTGAAGCCAGAAAACTAGCAGCTTCCCACACTTCAGTAATAGACCCCGGGATCACAAACTAGTTTCCACTTTCCAGTATCACAAATTGAGTTTGACATTAAATTTAATAGAAACACACAATTAGTCTAGATAATGAGACTGTAATATGAAAGAGCCTTCATTCTTCAAGCCGAGTCCACTGCATAAGACTGTAATAACACATGGCGTAAGACTGTAATAACAAGTACAAACACCCAATTATTTATTGTTCTTTATAAATAATACATTCTATCAGATTTTTAATTTATTATTTTTAATTGTTTAGAATAATAATAATAATAATTATAAACAATTATTATTATTGTTTTACTTATGATTTTTACTCATTGAATCCAACGAGTCTGTCAATGATTTTAGTTAAATACATTTCTTTTTAAAACTGTGTATTTCAGCAGACAGCATTGATATGTTATTCTGATAAATCATTTTGAGAGTTATTAAAACACTTCTAAATTGATATATTCTAAAGGCAATAGAATATAAAAACATACGTATATTTTGAGACACTTTCAGAAACAGAACACATCAATTGACTTCAAACAAGAAGTAAATCAAGTAATGTCCTCTACTACTACACACTACAAAAAAAGAAGCAAAAACCGGATTCATTTTATACAATTACAGAACCTCGGACGAATCCTTTTCTGGGAGTGCGGCTCTACTTTTGGGCTCTCATTTTCAGCTTCTTCTTTCTCTTAGAAGAGGACAACATCTTCTCAAGTTGGTTGATTCTAGCAGAGAGCGCAGATATGGTGGTCAGCTGCTCTTTACCCGATTCAACCAATCCCTCCATAAGCTTTCTTAACTTTTCATTCTCCTCCATTACCAGCTTCCTATCACCTTCTAGATCTGAATATGCCGACCAACCACGGTTATCAGAAGCTGCTGCAGTTGCATTGACAGCAGCAGCTTCTTCTGCTCCTCCTCCTTCGGCATCCTTTTCTCCACCACTTTTTATTTCAACATTCTCATCTTGGACCTGATGCTGCTTTTGATCATCATCTTCCATTTCTCTATCCAACTTTCCATTATCCTCCATTACGTGATTACTATCACCTGCCTGATCAGAAGGTGCCGACCAACCAGCAACTTCAGCAGCTGCCACAGTTTCATTGACAACGGCTTCTTCTCTGGCAGTTGTTTCTGTACCACTCTCTAGCTCAACATTTTCATCCTGGACTTGCTGCTTCTTTTGATCATCACCTTCCATGTCTCTATCCAACTTTTCATTATCCTCCACTACGTGCTTACTATCACCTTCCTGATCAGAACATGCTGTCCAACCAGCAACTTCAGCAGCTGCTGCAGTTTCATTGACAACAGCTTCTCCTGCTTCTTTGGGAGCTGTTTCGCCACCACTCTTCAGCTCATCATTTTCATCCTGGACCTGCTGCTTCTTTTGATCATCATCTTCCAATTTTCTATTCAAGTGCCCTGCTTCCACCAGACCTGCTTCATCTTGTGGAAATCCATCGATAACCCCTTTTGTTGCTTCAGACGTCTGGCTGCAAATTCCAGCTTCTTGATCGTTTTTTGCTTCTGCCTCCTCATGCTCTACACTATTCAAAATGTTACCTAGTGGTGAGACTTGTGCAGCTTCTTTCAGCTGATCCTTCAACAAACAGGACCCATCTGGACCCATTTGCTGCTCTTCCTGGGATAGTATATCAAGACAGCTAGCATCTGTTTTCTCTGCATCATTGTTAGTTGATGGACACTCAACAAGGTCCAATATCTTCTCCTTGGCTTCTAATAATTCCATGGAACTCAGCTGGTCATCATTATCTTGTCCATCATTTGGCACCATGCCATTTAAATTTTCCAGTGGAAGTGGCAGCAGCTCCCCCTCTTCACTTTGCTCCATTGTGTTATTGGGGTGCCCTTGAATGACGGTAGCATTGCCATCAATACTAGTAGCACACCCATCAACACTAATAGCATTTTCAGCTGTTAAATGGTGCTTAGTTATTGCTTGTTGTGAACTTCTGTCAATAAGAGAGTCCAACTTTTCCTGCAGACTAACCAGCTCTCTCGTAACAGATTTCCTAACCTCTCTTACACTTGGGTGTAAACCCTACAACAAAAAGAAGCAAATAAAAAGTCAGTTACTCATTGGCAGGGAGGTGCTGTTACAAATAATTCCCTTCAACCACTAAATCCAGTAAATAAACAAAGCAAAAGAAATTGTGTTACCAACACTTCCATAAAACTAGCATTCCAAAATACTTGACAAGGATATCGTGAAAATTGTTTCATATACCTGAATTGCATCAAGCTTCAGAAGAAGGTTCATTATGGTCTCTGCAATCACATTTTTCTGCTTGTCATCAACTGGCTTTTCAGAAGAATCCTCCAAAGCCTGAATATGAGTCCTTAACTCAGCCACTTGCTCTCTAAACCTGGATATTTGCTTTAGTTTCTTCAGAGTCTCCCATTTACGCACTTCAAAACCACGATATGCCGACTGGATCTTGGTGGCTGCCTCACTTCCTGAAAATTTTACTTTGGTCAGTGTTTCTGTTTGACCTTTTGTGTTATTGCAGAGTACAACACCAGGACATGTTCTCTTTTCTTGCTCACAGGGAGCAACTCCTTTAATTCCAACACTACCTACTCCACTTTCACTTTCACCAGTAGGAATATCACATCCAGCATTCACTTCTTTATGTGCATCCTCCCCTTGGGTTGTCTCTTCAATGTTGACCTTTACAGTTTCATTGCTGCATTTGCTTCCCTCCGCCGTATTACTAACCTCATCCGCGCATTTGCATTCACTGGTCCCTACCCCATTCGATGGGGCAGTATGTTTGTCCTTTGGCCTGTCAAGTGGTTTGTTATGGCCTTTTTTCCTTGGAAAGGGATCAACCCTTAGACAAACAGGAGGTAGCTTAGATGGCTTTTTAGGAGAGGATACTTGTTGTTTAGGACCATTCTCCTTGATGATTTTTTTGTCCCCATTTTCATTTTTTGGCTTCATAGTAGCATGGGAGGAGTTTCCTTCCGTCTGGTTTGAAGGGGACCTCATGTCATTATGATCTTCCAACTGCTTCACGGGAATGACCTTTGGGAAAGACACTCCTTTGTTTACTGTCTTCCTTTCCTCAATTCCGGAATTGAAGGCCTTACCTTCATCATCCAAGGAACCCTTTGGATTGGGTTCCAGAAGTTGCGGCAATTCCTGATCAGAAGAAGACTTTGGACCCAAATCAATCACTTTCCTTCCAATCTTTGGATTATCTTTTGGTTGGTCAGGCATCCAGACTATTGGATATGGAAAAGGCATGCTCTTACCATCTTGTTTATGCGGTGTTGTTAGCCGCAAGTCTTCCCCGTCCTTCAATCCTTCAGAATTATGCATGTAATTCAAAGGGGACCAGCCACTATAACCCTTTCCCTGCTCTTTTGGGTACTCTCTGCTGACATCACCGTAAGGAAACCAACCAACTGGATAAGGATGACTCCAGGCGTTGAAAGGAACCATAGCTTCACCATTTTTCCTATCCACGTTCTCATCATGCTCCTCAATCTTCAAATCCTTCGTCTCATTCTTCTTGCAAGGATGGTTTGGGCACCCACAGCAATGATGATCAGTGGGAAAATGATTTGGAAAACCATAATGCGGCTGCTCCATTGAGAAGTATGGAGGGGGCACATAGTGAAAAGGATACGGTCCTGGAGGCGCATAGTGGAAAGGATGGGGTGCGATGTGGGGGTAAGGAGGTCTGGGAGCATAGGAACTTGGTTGTTGAAAATTGCTGCTATGGCAACAACCGCCATGGGGTACTGGACATGGATAGCCACCTAATGGCCAAGATCCGTAAAACTTACCCGGATCCACGTTCATATCAGGCCTGGCAGGTATTTGAGCATTGGGATAATAATAAGAATATGGGAAACTGGGGATTTGATTCTTATGGTATGGATCAGAATCCATATACCTTTTCCCGAAAATCAGATATCTGCTGTCAAAAGGAGAGAAGAAATTAAATAAGTCTATATAATAAAGAATTGATAAATGAAGAGAAGAAATGAAATGAGACTAAATCTCAATAATTCACATAAGATTTTGTTTTCTTTAAACTGGAATCCACCAATATCCCTATGTGGAACACTAAACAGTAAACACGGCCATGCTCATATAACCCAACAAGTTATAGAGGATTGGCCAATTAATGTCGACCAGGATTTTGCGTGGATACATCACTAAAATTGAGTAATACGATCCTACTGGAATCACAGGTTCTCCAAAAACCTAGCTTCAAACATAGCTTTTCCATTTTTGAATGATGTGAATTCCAAATAAACATGAAAAAACTAGGTTCAGCATTCAATTAGACGAACATTAAACATTAAACATCATGCATTAAATTTTGCCAGTTGAAATTCCAAGACCTTTATTAATCAGGAACGGAAAATCAAAATTTTAGCAGGGCGTTACGCCATAAACCTCCAAGTAAAATAAATAAACTAAAAACATGATTATGAAACTGAAGAATGAGCCGTGATATACTTACAGTCGTTATGATGAAGATTGAAGAAAATTAAATGACACAAATCACAAAAGCCACCAGCTCAATTCAATCGATTGACCAACCGGAAACGACGAAGAGTTCCGAGCGCTGTTATTTATCTGGTAATAAGTACTGCTTTAATTTTCGGATTCTTCTTTCTTCTGAAATTCTGGTAATCTTACTTTGTTTTTAGTTGGAGATATATAGAGTGATGGGTTTTGTCTACAACATTCGAGATGTTTCGCGGCTTTCTAAACGTTCCAATTGTCGCCTCCCTAGCTCAGTACTTCTAGTTCTTTTCGACATTTGTGGGTCCCAATCTAACACGACGTGGCTTAATTCGAGGACAATACGGAATGTAATTCTAGAAAATACGGGAAGCCCAATTAGCGCCGTATGGACTGCCTCAATGGGAAGCCCAATAAAATAATAAAGGGGAGTTCTATCCACAGTCCTTTATTTGCTGAATACAGCCACGTAATATCTGCGATACCTAATAACGTCTAATTGCCTTCAACCCAAGAGGCACCGCCTACTCAACTCCCAACAAGATCAATGAGCATCTGAAGAATATCTTTCCATTTGTGTGAACTAGAATCGGGGTTGTAAGAAATAGCAAAGTCAGCAGCTCAAATCAATTTGCTTTGCCATTTGGGTTTCTTTATTAGGGAATCTAGAGTCCAATAATCCATCTATTGTAACAGCTCAAGAGCATTAGTCCATATATGATTGATGGAGTATATGGTCCGGGAACCCCCGGCCCACAGACTCCTACTACTCCAATCAAGGCCTTACAGGCCCAGAAGGTCCAACAGGCCCAAATCACAGCGCCCAGAGTACCAAGCAGCCCACGAATGCGCACTAGGGGTGCCTTCGGCCCTTGGCCGAAGGCTCTAACTCTCACAGGAGGGCCAAGACAGTAAAACAAAGTTACTGGAAAAAACGACGAAAATCAGTAGCCCTCGGCACCAAGGGGGTCCCCAGTACTCAGAGCCCTCGGCTAGTCCTCTACAGCCGAGGGCACCTTTCCCGACATGATATCCGCACCACATGCGTACAGATCACCGTACCCTGTACAACGTCCCATCCAACAGCCGCATTAAATGCGGCCACATGCGGTTGCCAGCGCCAACCAGTTGAAGTGACCTCTCGGCCAATGGACGCTTGACACGTGTCCCTGTCCGGCATTTATTGCTACTATAAATAGCACCCCATTTCCCCATTTGTAACCACGCTGAAAACGCTCCACACCTTGCAATATACTTTCTCTCTATACTTACTTGCTCTGACTTCTCTCTTATTACTCCCGTAATAACCCCTCGGGTAAGCTACCCCCCGGGTACACTATCCATCAATGATGTTGAGTCACCAGAGGGCATATCATATAGTTGCCGTGACTGACTTCCTCCGTTGAGCAATTTCTCATGTTCAGTTCCTCCAAGAAATATTATAAAATGGGATTCTATATGAAGGACAAATATTATCAGGTCCTTGGGAGAAATACTAGAGTTCATGGTGAAGGAGCAAATATAAGGGCCGGCCAGTTGCGGTTCATCGAACTCATTTCGCGCAACTGGAATTAGATGAACATCGAGCTCGAGTGGAAGGGAAGTATCCATGAATTGTGCGTAGCTCACAGGCAATCTGGTCTACCATTTCTACCTATTGGCCGGAGTTGCTGGCCGGAGGAATCACGTGATATAGATCTAGCTTATGGGCTCGTCCTCACTCTAGAAACTTCAGAGTTTAGACATGGGTGTGTGGTTCCGGAAACTTCAAACATGTGTGGATATTAGATAGAGTTGTGGTCGTGACAATACGAGATGGCGTGAAATTATAACAAGGACATATTCGAAATTTAAAATAATTACAGAAATGGGTGTGTAACTATCAAAAAGTAGGCTGTATATAGAATTCCCCAATAATAAATGGAGACGATATGGATCGGCAACTCAGCCAAATAAAATACGGAGTATTATTTTGGAATTTTTCCAATTTGTGGATTTTAATGTTTTATGAGTAATTCTCTAGGATTTATCATAATCTCGGCTAATAATACCACTTAACCATGACCACACTTTGTGTTTGGATGACATTGTGTGACACTCTTAAGGCCACACTTTGTGGGTTAAATGTTCGAAGCTTATCGCAATCAAGAATAAGTTGTTTCATTCGACATATTTTTCTCCGTATAATTTGTGCAAGAATAGGTTTTTTCCTTCGACTTTAAAATATTAGCCTCACTAAGATCATTTTAAATTTTTGTGTATTTCGAAACCATTCATATCAAAGATTTACTAACTCACGTCAACAACTTTAATACAACAACAACATTCAAGCCTTATTCCCAAAAAAATTGGGATCGACTGACATAAATCAATTCATGAAATCAGAGTAAAAAAGAAAAGAAAGATTAAAAAAATAAGATAAGATAAAATGGATAAGATAAATAACATAATAACATAAGATGGATAAAACAAAAAAGAGATAAGGAACATAAGAAAACTAAAAGATGCAAATGAATAGTCTATATGTACCTTTTATCACAATTTTGGATGATTAGCATCCCCACCTTTTACTCATTAAAGGTTTATTGAGTTTGACCTATTGCAAGTAAAAAGTATTCGTGTTCAAATTTCCTCAAGTTTACTTGAACAATCTTTGATTATTAGGGGAAATCTTTTTGGGAATATCAAATAATTAATCAAACTTTAAATAAACCGTGAAGTGTTGCTATGATATAAAGCAACTACAACTGCTCGAAAAATGCTCAGTTGAACGTAAAAGTATCTTTTTGTAGAGCATTAACTATTTTCCCAATATTATTTCATAATTCCTAGAGCTTATTACTCTTCACTTATATATTAATTTTTTCTCTTAATATATCAGTGTTTTTTGGCCTCTTTAATTAGTACTGTTGTAGACTAGTAGTGTAGTGCAACTGTGCAAGTTTTAAACTTAATTATCATGCTATCATATATTCTTCATCTTTTTTGTTTGGTCAATGCATATTAAAAAAGTATATAAACAATATCAGTTTTTCCCTAGAATGTGTTTCTTTAAGAAAACACAAATGATAAACTCTACTCCTTTTATCATACTACTTATATTGCATATTTCCTATTTTATCATCCAACTAAATCTAATACTACTTGGTAATTGCATATGATTTGAACTTAAGTAAATAATCAATATTGCCAATATTGCTTTTTTCCTCCCATAAAATTTTATCAACATTCTTTATTTAACCTTCATAAAAAACTTAATCTTTTTTATTTAAAATAATAAGTATGTAGCTAAAATTGTTTCTCTCTTCTATATGTAAATTAACTTTGGCTAATTTAGATGAAGTATCATTTCTGCACATACACTGCCACGCGCTATTTGCAAGAATAGTACTCCCCGCTCCACTCCAAGTTGCACAGAATGAGAAGTTTAGTCTTTGTGTCTAAAAATGAGCACAAAAACCACAAAAATTGGCTGCAACATATCAAAAGGTGGCATAGATAAATTAAAAGATATCACACCCAGAATAGAAGATCCATTGCAATTACACTGCTGGAAAAGAAGATATATAATGAATAAATGAATATGAATTGTACCCAGAGTTTGCTTTAGTGGTCAAACAATGCAAAAGAAAAAGGGGCCAGAAAAAAACGCCAAGAGCCCAAGACAACCCTTGAGGCAAAAGCTAATGATATCTATCTTTAGACATTGACTACTACTTTGTAAGAAAATTAATGCTATAGCAAATGCTGTACTTCAGCAACTTCTCTTGAGTTTGGGTTTTGACTACTATTGTTCTTATTACTATTATCCTCAGGCGGAGGCTTCACATATTTCCCGATCACCTTTTGATGAGTCCGATTCCTGATCCTCGAGATCTTATCCCGGCTCTGTTGCCTCCTCCTCTCTTTCTCCCTATTCCTTTGGTTCCTCTCCTTCTCGAAGATTCCTTGCCAGAACACTTCGCCCGTCAATGGCCATAACCACCTTTTTTGGGGTGCATCAATGTCAGACATCTCAGCCAGCTCTTCATCCAGGCTCTTAATCGTGCTGTACTGGAACCATTTCACCCACATTTTCCCTCTCCGGCTCTTCAGCTTGTGCTGTTCCTGCATCAACCCCGTCTTCGGGTCCACATATACCATTCTTCTGGCACTATGGTAGGCCCACACATTTACAAGCAACTCTAGCATCCTACAATAGCAATGCTTCTCCTGCTAAATAAATAATAGCCATTGGATGGTAATTATTATTTTTTAATTAATATGAAAAGGTTTATCCCTACAGTATTACTTAAATAAAGTTCACTCATAAATATATGTTATTCAACAAAGCTAAATGGTCACTATAAGTCACTGCGAGAAGACAATCAACATTACTACAGTGTAACATTGAACATCACCTCACCATGATCATCATAATCACTGAAAAATATTTGATTTTAATGAATATTAAGCATTTTCATAAAATATTGCTACAATTCACAGATAAAAATATGGCTAAATGCCTACATGATCAGTACTGTCAGGATAACAGGCTAACAGCACCGTGGTGACTGCGCAAATACAGCTATGGCTACTAGAATGAAAACTTAAATCACTTTTTTTTGCATAATATTTATTTTGGTCATATGTTTTTATATTATTTCTAATATTAACTCCTATGTGGTAGTCCGTGAAAATCTCAAATTGAAGTTATTTTTACCTTAGTTAAACTCAGGTAGCAATATCCAGTTAGGTGATGCTGATCATAGTAGTCTGAGTCAAGTGCATCCACAAACATTCTGGAAAACATTACGAACTCAAGGAAGGATCTGGTAGGTAAAACCCAACTATTCATGACTGACCATGTATCTCCATCGGCTGGCATTTGAGGAATACTTAAATTGTGTTTAACTCCATACATCTTCTTTAAAGCCTCAGAGAAAGCAAACCTTCAACAACATATAATGTTTAACTCAGCTTACACACATTTATAGATGGAAAGGAATGAACACCAAGAGTAAATTCCAACAAGTGTGTTGCGTCTTACTTGCAGTTCCCTCCATTAATGGTATCACAGAATGACCAAAAGTCAAGTTTATGTGGGTTTCTTTGATCCATGTCCATAGAAGCCCAAAAGAATAATGTGTCACCATATCTTCTTTCTTCAATAGCATCCACCAGTGATGTTTCTGCCATCTTTGACAAGGACTCCTGATTATAACAAAAATTAGTGTGGAAACCGTACGTCGCTAAACCAGAGACATGAATAAACCACCATATTTTTTCAGTTAAAGATGCTGTCCAGCTAAAACCAAAGAGACAGTTTCAATAAACTAGCTCCAATAGCCTTTAGGATGTTTTTACTTGGACTGAAATTTTCAGGTCTGGTCTGGTAGATGTCTGGTTTGTGTATTTTACAATGTCAATGTCTAGTCTGGTCTGGCCTAGTCTGTTTAAGTCTTGTGTGGTCCGTTTAAGTCTTGTGTGGTCTGTTTGAGTCCAAGTAAAAACATCATTAGTCACCTTGAGTGGTATGAACAGACTAGACTCTTGATATAATCTCCCAAAACCTCTAGAGAATACAGATTGAATTGAAGTTTTCTTATTGATTAATGATTAAATGAATATCAATTCCATCAAATATCTCTGACACCCATATCCTCTCCCCCAAGATAACAATGAAAATCATTTCATTTTCATTTACCCCAGTGCCGCAAAGGCTCTACCTACGGTCGGGTAAGGGGGGGTCGGATGTACGCAGTCTTACCCCTGTACTAAAGCAGGGAGAGACTGTTTCCGGATGACCCATAGTGAAAATCCCGTCCAAAATTGCATGGACTGACAGCTGCTTCATAACAAAGAAGCGCAGACAGTTTAGTGAGCCAAGATAACAATGAAAATAAATAAATTAATTAAAAATAATAAGTAAAAATATAAAATATAAAATGTTTAGACAACAGTTCTATTGCGTATTATTCCGTAAAACATAAAATGTTTTTATGTATATATGCTAGGAGGAAACATCCTTGCTCTAAAAAAAATTGCTCAGATAGTAATAACATTAAGCATTTACAATAGTCACAGCTTGTTTTATGATTTGGGTCACGAACAATGTTCATTGAAGAAAGAATTGCCTAAAAGAACAAAGACTAACAAACCTTTCTTGCTGTGAGTCTCCAGGACTGAAACCCTATCCAAGCATTCTTGTGTATGCGGTCTATCCGGTTGGCAAGGGCAAAAAAACCTCCAAACTCATTCAGGTTGTCTCGGTAATAAGGGTTATTTAGCAGTGGTAGGCGAGATGGTGCGTCGATGTCATCATGACCAGGTCTTCGTCCTTTAGTAGACTACAGTTAGTGAGTCCATGTAACCACATGTCAAATTGTTTATAATTTTATATATATCTATATATAAACTATGAAAAATGATCATATACACATATTCACTTACAAGTCCAAGTCCACGATACAGTGAAGTATGTCGCAAAAAGGGCCAGGTCCCTTCCCCATAGTAAGGCTCGTATATGCACAATGGCTGACCTGTCCTTTCAAGCTCCCCGTCATCCCTTTCATGTAAATCGTTCCTTGACCGGTCAGCCCTTTTAGCACTTTTATATGCTTCCTCCCATGTTCCACGATATTGAAAGGTTCTGTCCTTCAACTGCCTCAAATCCAAACATAAAAGAACTTGAGTAAATAAAAGAATTATAAAAATAAATCCAAAGAAAAATAAAGGAAGGAGAGTAGTGGGTGCATCACTAACTTCATCATCTTCTCTTCTCTTTGCCCTATTTGTCATCTGCATATATTTCTCTTCCTCCCAAATACTATATACAAAGGTGTCATTTAAGGCCACAGAAATATCCTTTTCAGTATAATTGAGTTGGTTTTCCAGCTTTTCCAGTGAAATATGGGTCTTCTGTGTTCTATTATGGGAATGTGGTTCAAAGAGATGCCACTGCCACTCTGATTTCAATTTGAGAGGAATATTTGTCATGGGCCGTGGATTTGCAGCTTCAGATGAATACCTGAGAATGATGTTTTCCAGAAGTGAAGCATACCCTTCAACACTCTCTGAAACCAAAAGGTTTCTAGCAGTCTGCTTTCCCATATAAGCAGCATTTCGAGCAAGATGTGACAATTTACCATTTGAGACAATTTGGGCCATTATCTGTCTTAAAACCCTAAGATTTTGTTTTGGGTAAAGAAAACCATTCACTCTGTCATCAACCTGGAAAGCATTCAAATTTCAACAAATTAGTCTCTAGTTTTTGAAAAACACAGTATGTTTTTGTGTTCAGTTATTAAATAAACTTTAAACAATACTGACAACTAGGAAAGTATATGAACTGATATTAACTTATGCTGATATACCACCAATTTGTGTCAGTAAGAAAATAGAGTTCGACCCCTACTTTTTTCTTGATAATTGAGAGATCTGGGGCTACTACAGGTTTCCCAAAGCACATAGCTTTTAGCAGAGTGTTTGGAAATGATTGCTCTTCGCGGAAGGAAGCATATATCACTACATCAGCCATACTTAAGATACTTTCTGTGTCTTCAGCTGAAGCATAATGCTTCACAGTTCCATTAGAGTACTTCAAGTTCACCGCAATTGTCTGCCAATTACATTTATAGTTAAGAAGCATGTTTGAAAAAAAAATCTGACTATCATAGAATCTACCATATGAATCCAACTGTCATGGTTTGAGAATGACTTATATAAATTTATTAAACAGAAAATGAAATACTAGCTTTACCTCAACAGCCATAGTGTAATTACTATTTGATCCCCCGGTTAACACAATCATTTTGAAATGTGAATTAGAATTCCCATCATTTTCCGATTGTTGAAAAATTGGACGCAAAGACTGTAAAACAAGGGCTTGCTCCAGCAAAAGACTTTTGTATAGAAGCTGACTTCCTACAATTACAATAATGAAATCTTCTAATCCATAATCCATCTTAGCACGAAAACTATCATTGCTTGAAGCCAGAAAACTAGCAGCTTCCCACACTTCAGTAATAGACCCCGGGATCACAAAGTAGTTTCCAGTATCACAGATTGAGTATGACATCTAAATTTAATCAAAAAGCACAATTAGTCTACATAATAACACATGCCACAATCATGGAACACAAACAAATACAAGACCACATGAGACTTTCTATGGAATAATACCGGCAAAATATAATTTGGAAACACAACAACATTAGCACGGCTGAAGACTTTTCTCCAATAATCAACAAGCACATTCTGGCCACCAGACTTATAATGTCTCAACCGATCAGCAAGTGCATGTTCCTGGATTGTCCATATAACAGCTACACTCTTAAAAGGTTCCTGCATAAGACTGTAATAACAAGTATAATGGACGAAGAAAATTGCAAAACAAAAAAGTGAAAGTATGTTAGTTACACCTCAAAAAAGTCCGTATTATCTTGGATGCTTACCAAGATAATACTCTGGCAGCTTCAAGCGAGTTCAAAAGTAAGGCATCATAGCTGCAAAACCCATATAAAAGAAGTTTAGAGAGGAAAGACCATTACATGTAATGTCTTATTTTATGATGGTGTTGTTGAAGCTTCAAAAATAATCTAGAAAGGGAAGCAGGTAGATGATATGTCAAATTGCCATTAAGTAAAACTATAGACTTATTTTAGGGAAAAAACATAAAAAGGTAGAAATCAGAAAAGATCGCATACGAAAGCCAATCTACATAGATATTCTCATTAGTTTCTATAGTGTTAACTGGAAACCCTGCATCTCTCCATACAGCATGCACAGGACCGTCTTCAAGGGTAAGCACCTACAAGTTAAGGAGAAACAGTGTTAAGGTCAGCACCAAGTTAACAGAGAAAACAACATAATATAATGATTAGTTCACACATTTTTTTCTTTTCCAGAATACTTCATTAACTCCCGAGTTGATCTATACAAAAAAGGTTATGGCAAGAATGAAAATGAGAAAATGAAAATCATACAAGAAATTGGGTAAATCTCATTGGGGTGTATGTTCTTGTAAAAAATCGACTCCACATATTCCTTTAAAAATATATATAAGGCCACGATAATTACCTGAACTTCGTACCCAATCTCCTTCAAAGCCAATGCAACATTCAGCATCATTACTTGATATGGATCAGCCAACATATTAGCAAAAACCTACCAGAACAATGAAAAACCATTATACCAACTATCCACCAGACAACCAGAAAATAATTGACAGGGTAATATCAATACTCACCAATCCGAGTTTGGGTTTTCTGTGGGGGAATCCCATTGCTCTCCCAGACCTAACAGAGACATTGAGCTTAGCTAAAATCTTGGAAGGCTCAAACTTCAAATCTTCACCAAAATCCAATCCACCAAGCTCTTTCAAGAACTCCAAATCCCCAGACCCAACACCACTTCCCTTTGAGAAATTTTCTGATTTTTCCACAAATGAACCAGGTAACAACATCTGGAACAGCACAATGAAGAAGAAGAACAGCCCCACAGTACAAATCCACTGCATATAGTTAATCTTCTTGAACAACAGTGCCCTTGTGCATCTCGATCTGAGCCTATGAAGCCTGCTTACTCCTGATGATGGGCGAACCAAAAGCTGGTGATTCTGATCTTTCTTGAATGGAACGCCACTCTCAAGAGAACCCATTATCCACCCATCAAATATGACCCTTACTACAATCTATCACACCCCAGAGACGAGCGGAGAAATTTGAAAGGAAAGAGCAAGAATTTCAAGAAAGAGTATCGAACTTTCTTTCAGCTCGTCATTAGTTGCTTGTGAAATTGAGAGTAACTTTTTCTTTCGTTCTCCAGTAAAAGAAATGAAGCCATAACTCTATTACTTAAATAAGTACTGCGTCATCAGCACAGAATGTACGATTATGGAGAGGGCTCAGCGACTTTGCGAAGTTTGGCGAGGTTTGTGGTGGTCAACGATATGTTGACGACCTTCCTTTTCCCAGCGGGAATACCATGTACGGGCTATTATTACTTTTTCAACGAGATAAAAAGAAAAGAAAATTCCAATGGTTTATGTTTTTCCTTCTTTAATTTTTACTTTTTCAATAAGTAATTGATTAAAAAAGAAATTTTGAGCAACACGCCTAGATTCTTGCAGGCCGCCTAGATTGCTTGCAGGTCCGGACCTAGTTTGTGTGTTTTGAGGCATGTGCGCCTGCTATAAAATATAGAGAAAATTTACTAATTTAGAGGGGAAAAAGAAGAATGATTGGATGAAGTGACATCCCTCCGATCCTTAATTAATTTTACACTTTCCTTTTTGAGTCGTCTCATATTAAACTTTACACTTCTTTATTTGCCTTATTTGGTAAACAAATTTACACCAAACAGTGCAAAACAGTATCAAACAATGCCAAACAGTGTACTGTACAGTAAAGTTAAATTTATTTTCTTAATATGTGTGCAGTCAAAGTATAAACTTCATTAAGGATCGGAGGGAGTATAAGATGATCATAATGTCGTAGTAATATCACATTACGGCTACGTTTGGGAAGACACATGAGATTCATAAATTAGTTTGCGGTTATTATTAAAATTGGTGAACCAAAAAGCTGAAAAATAAAAAAAAAACGAAATCGAACAGACCGAAACCGATCTAAATTGAAACCAATTAAAACCGATTAATCATTGGCGGTTCGGTTTACGGTTTCACCTTTTGGGTAAAACATCGAGCAAACCGAAATCGACCGATAAAAATCGACTAAAACCGACACAAACCGATCGAAACTAACCGAACAGAAACCGAGTCAAGTAGTGTGATTCAGTTTACGGTTTCACTTTTTTTAAAATCGAAACTTATAAAATCGAATGAGACGAAACCGAACAGACAAACACCCCTAGCATCTAGTCTCAAATTGAATTTTAAATTGAGTATAAATGCTACCCCTCTGTCCCCCTATAATTTTCTCATTTTCCCATTTTTGGATGTTCCCCTATTATTGTCCCATACCATATTTGGTAACATTTGTGTGGCTCTAATTCATTCTTACTTTATTCTCGATTTATCAACTCATTATTAACCACATAATTCTACTTTTCTTAAAAATCACATCACTCCATTTCGTCCCAATATTCGGGGACGGAGGGAGTAGTTGAATAAAGTAGTCTTGTTTGACAGCATAGCTGAAATATCGATTGAAAATCTAAAACTCTCATAAAAGTGAATGTTTTAATGTAAACAAGATAAAATTTAGATAGCGGGATTATAAATTCGACATAAGTTTGCACTAAATTAAAGAGGTGAACTGAAACACAACAATTAATAATGTTTCAAATCAATTGCTTAATTTTAGGTTTCATTCAATCAAGACCAGTCATTTATCCAAACAAAGTTACATGTCAAGTAATTGTCTAGATTTATCAAATTGTTGAAAGTCATTCCTTCAATCCGTAGGCCCAACACGTAACTCAAGGATTTCGAGTGGATGTTTTGGTAATTAGGTGACTAAACAAGAAATGCTATAATGTTAGAGTGCTAAGTTGCGAACCTTTTACAATGAAACAAATGCTACTATTTATACCACCGATGGGTGGTTAGACATGCTGACGTGGTGGGTTGTGGATGGCTAGGATCCCAACCACCAAATCTTTTGCATTAAATGTGCTTCCCGCCAGAATCTGGGTTTCCCGTCTAGGGGTGGGGACGAGCGTCCCCATGAGCCTGCCTTCCGGATTCTGCTGGCCCCACGTTATAGGTCTCGAGCGTCTTGCGCTACTTCTGGGCTAAGATGCATGTCTGAACTTGGCTACGTGCGTCCATTGGGCCTTGGCGGCCTACATGATGTAGGCTGCTATTCTGGGGACGAACCTCGCTGCTATGGGCCTGGGATTTCTAGGGACGTTCGTCTAGGAGCTCTCAAGGGTTGATGGGCCAACACAAATTTTAACTCATTTTAAAGTGATGTGGTCATCTAAGCATAGCCAAAATGAATGAGTTGGTATCTCGAAAATGTAAAACACATGAAAGGACATATAGTTTACTTAAAAGGAACAAGAATGGGTTGGAATGTGCCATTGTGAGATTATTTAAATTAAGGCCAATGTTTTATATTTGTAAAATTGGATTCCTTCATGGGTTCGTTGTTCTTTAGGAATAATGGAGCTGCTACATGGTCTTCCTGATATCTTTATTTTTCAGTCAACAAATCAAGAATATATTTGTGTTGAGATAGAGCTATCGCTTTCTAACTTCCTCATACCTCAACACCCAAAAAATCAGTTAGCTAAAATATATTTCAAAAATATAATTTTAAGAAATGTCTTGAGCACTAAAGTTCAAGTTACATTAATGTATAATCACAATATCATTAACATATAAATAGTATATATCACTGGCACGAAATGATTTTTTTGAGGATAGATTCATCTTATTTTCCTCTAATCAATTAGAATCATTTAATATCTTGGTTGTTACCAAAAACCATGCAAACGAACTTATTTTAAGACCATACAAAGATTAACTTTGGAGGCCTTATACGTACATACACTCTCATTGAGCAACAACCATTGAGATTACTTTATTTAGACATCTGATCTAGACTCATTATGTTCATCAAGTAAATACATTCTTGATGTAGCACTGTTGTAAGGAAAATCATTAGTCACATTGAGGGAGATAAGTAACTAAATATATGTTAAAACGGGTACTAGAGAAAAACAATCATAATGTATAGTCATTACCTTTACCTATCTCTAAGCATAAGTACATAACATATGGCAACAAGTAAAGCTTGCAAAAGGTTAATAAACCCATCTAAGTGAACATTAACTGCAAACACTCACTTACAAGTTACACCTCATAAGCTTTTTCCTAGAGTTGATAAGAAGTAATATATTTTGGACTAAATGAATTAAGTGTCGATAGTTGTGTGCTAAAATAGCTTGAATTCGATATCTAAATGGACAAGCCCACATAATGGAATTTGAAAATACTTGATCACGTCATCACACTCAAACTTGCTCTTCACTATCATCTAAGATGATATCTAGGACATCTATCTCACGGACTTGACAGTGAGATTCAAGTACAGAATCTTCCAACAATTTATTATAGATTATGAAAGAACTGCCATAAGAACTATCCAGTATGTCAAACTCATATTCATTTAAGTTGCGCTTCATTTGAGTATATTCTTGACCAGTAAGAGTGCTCATCGCGGTTGATCCCTCAACTGAGGTAGAATATAAGTTCATTGCAGATGTAACGGTAGAAGTAATATGAGTTGTTTACCACCTCTTCACCCTTCCCATTTATGGTGTGATGATTTACGGAGTAACATATTGATGTGTCAATATATATTTTTATGCCCAGACCAAGGATGTGATCATTGCCGACCGCATTATACATGATTTGGTAGGCAAAGAAACAAGTTCAATTCATTGCATATCAACTAGGAACCACCTTGTAGCCTGTATTTACATGGAACCCCTTCCATCATCCTAATTTGCCATACTTCAAAACAAGCTCAAAGTTGTGAATCAGATCCCATTGTGCTTGAGGGAAGAGTATTAAGACTCTAGTGTTCATATTCACCCCTTGTATTCAAGGTTAGAAGAGCTTTATTATGTAGCTCGTTGGTCAGAATGCAAGTTTCCTTCACACATTGACTTGAAAGAAATACTACTTTGCAATTTAATTTCTCATACTCACATTGATTTTCTCAACATTCCACAATGGCTATCTACACTTAATGTCTTCCTTTATGTTGGTGATTTTAGTGTCACCGGTCGTTTTGTGTAATTGGAAATGACATGGATGCCAATAGGGATTAGAACCGTGTTCTAATACAAGCTAGGAGGTGTGGAGTGCACACTTGTATATAAGAACGGGTTCTATTCCAAAGTGTCTACGGCACTGGAACTCGCGGTAGAACACTCAGTAGACCAACTCTGTGGTTCTAGACCGAGGTCTAGAGCGGTTGGGCAGTTTCGTGCAGTTTTTTCAAAAACGGTCACGGTTATTCTAAAACGTGTTGCAACTGCCTGGGACGTGTAATATGGATATATATCACCATATTTCGTACAGAGAACATAGAGGAGAGATATACAACACATCTTGATCACTTTGGCACTCATATAAAGATAACAATCCATATACTCGACTAGTTTGGCTCTAGTTCTTGTGCCTAAGTTCTAGAGTATCCTTAAGGATTATCCTAGATTGAATTTCTTGTAACCCAGGCATAGGGGAGAAATATCAATCGGAAAGTGAACTTACACGATCATTAAGCAATCCAAGTACTCGATTATCACCCCCTACGTGATCTACCCCAACAATCGAATTGATAATTTCTTTGTGATAATCATGAGTACCGTGGAAGAGATGACATCCAAGTTCAACAAATTGGACAAGTTTCAAGGGAACGATTTCCGTAGATGGCAAAAGAAGATGCATTTCCTCCTCATCACTTTGAAGGTTGTGTACGTGTTGAGCACTCCGATGCCAGAAGTGATGGAGGACGAAACCTTGGAACAACTAGGAGGCGTAACAAGTGGGAGAACGATGACTACATATGTAAAGGCCACATTCTTAACGGTATGTCCGATGCGTTATTTGATATTTACCAAAACGTTGAGAGTGTGAAGGAATTGTGGAATTCTCTTGAGTCAAAATACATCGCCGAGGATGCTTCTAGTAAGAAGTTCTTGGTGAGTGATTTTAATAATTATAAAATGGTTGACTCAAGGCCGGTTATGGAACAATACAATGAACTCCTTTGTGTTCTTGGTCAATTTAAACTCCACAAGATAGGTGTTGATGAGTCATATGCCATGTCGAGTATAATTGACAAACTTCCACCCTCTTGGAAGGATTTTAAACGTTCTTTAAAACATCAAGATGAGGAACTG